AATGACTCCTTTTCCAGTCTTTGATTATTTAATTGTATTAATTATTTGCATGCTATTTTTAATAATGCCAAAGAAGTATAACTTCTTACGCGCGTACATAAGTACATGCCCCCACCCTTTTTTTAAATACAGAACGAATTGTAGTATACGTAGTTAAAAAAAATTGCTTATGTTCGTGTTAGTAGATTGAAGACTTCTATGCAAATTGCAAATGTTTCAATCCTTTTAAACTGAAGATCAATACAAGGCGACACTATCCCGGTCATTTCCCTTACGTTTCCGCGTGTCCCAGTCTATTTCCGATACACCGATGTTACGCTTCACATCGTTTCTATTTTGTTCATTTAAGTTCTAGAATATTTAAATGTAATTTAAATAAGATTTTCGAAAGTCAAGGACACAATGATTTTTATTTAATACAAAAGACAAAATGATTTTTCACTTAATTCTAGCGACAAATGTACTGCACAACTTTGATTGATGAAATTCAGTAATATAATGATTATTATAAACATAGAAATAATGATTTATGTTTAGATTTGAAATTTTTTATACCTGGCAATTATTTATTGCAATGCTGATACGCTATGCAAGTCTCTGTACCGGTTCTGTCTACCAAACCCCAAATTAAAACCTTACAACTCCTGTACAAAGTTGAATTTGGAGGAAAGACAGACTCGATACTAAAAATGAAAGGTAACCAAGGCATCACCTAGGAGTCCAATTTAGAGTTTTTTAATGCCAGTCCACGTGCAGTTCACTAACATTACTGCCATTCGTTTTTAAATTTATTTTAGTGCTTTAATTATTCCGATGTTCAGTGAAGATATAACGGTCTTAAAACTGGTTGTTATATGTACTGGATTAAATGTTAAATCATTATCGTAATGCCAACATTAAGCTACATTTAATTATAGATTTACCTACATTAAGAAACCTTATAGATAATATTCCCTTTCCTTCTCAATCAAACAACCTTCATAGTCATAAGTCCCTATTAGATCGCTACTTTGTCACGTCCGACGAATCGATCACGTTACAAGACCTCAATTTCCGCAAATGAAATAATTACATCATTTAAAAGGGATACTGTACATGATCTAATTAATAATCGCCTTGATTTCAGTACAAGGCTGTGGGCATTATCGCTTAAGCTGACTTGCGCAATTAGAAGGATACACGCTATGTGGAGCGTGTCCATATCTTTTACTTTTATTTTAAAATGGCCCCGGCTTATCTTATGTGATGTCCAATGTTAGATTTAATTTTGATATGTATACAAGAACGTACCGTTTTCTGTAAGGTTGGCAACACACCCCCGATGTTGCAGTCCATGGGCATTTTATTCATCACCATCACTTTATTAAAAGTGACCGGATTGCTCGTTTCCTCCCATCCCATAAAAAAAAAGAAAATAGCAGTGCCCAGTGATTTAGGCATGTAAATCTCAACGGTGAGGTTATGCGTTCACATCCCCGTTGTGCACTAATTGTTCGTTCGATGTGCGCATGGTAAAGGGAAACAGGAAATCGGCATGTCTAATATCTAAAAATCCACGATGTGTCAAGCAAAGAAGTCTGATTTAATATAATAGCGCAACATTTTTTAAAGTGATATTGATGATGTTAAGTGATACCGTCGCTCATGGACAGTCAATGCCTCGCATTGCGAAAGGGCTCGCGAGTGCGTTGCCGGCCTTTTCAGAATTGGTACGCTCTTTTCTAGTGGGACTCTAAGTTGAATTGGTTGCAACTGGATTATTCATTAACTATCTCCCGCCTACTCCTTCCTACCTGTAGATATCGTGTATTAAGCCAAGATTTTTTGCGACTTCTTCAATAATAAAATCGTTATATTTCAGTCAATTTACCTAAAATCATAATGAACCTAAAGCCTATTCGGTAACACTATATTATTCATATTAGTGAAAATTGTACAAAATTGTTTTTGTGTGTATCCTGTACAACGCAGCAGCTTGCGATTCTAACTCTCACAGCGGTTCTCGCGGCCGTGGCGCTCAAATGGCGTAAAGCAGTTATTTTAGTATTTGGCATTCTGGTTTGGAGTTAATAGACAGACCTCACAAGGCTGGACCTATATGTTAGGATTAATAGAAACATCACAAATATAGAAACGTTATTAACCCACTTAAGGTGTGTAAAATCCTTTTTTAAGAGTATGTTAGTGAGTTAAGAGTATGAGGGTTAATAAAACCGTAAACAAGTCGATATAAATTTTGACATATTTACTTCTTAGTAGTCCAATTTCTTCCATAATCAGAATATAATTTCATTCATTTAGATAAACTAGTACGCTTATCAAACATTAAAAGCATCGATCTTTCAACTTTAATTAACTTTACAAGTTGTTAATAAGTAATAATAATAATCTTTATTTATTTTATCACACGAAAACATCAACCATAGAGCACAAATTAAAGCAACAGTTATTTATTATTATAAAATTTTTCTTCTATTGAAGGAAATGCTTCTTTGTGTGATACTGATACCTATTAAGGTACCTGTGTTATCAGGCCATTATTAAATAAGTGTATAAAGTTATTTAATAAAATCACTTTCAATATGTAAAAGTTTTAATTGATCTCTATAAGAACTTAGTTAAATTCGCATCAAGAAGAAATCCTAAAATATTACCACACCAATAAGATATGCGGCGATAAAATTAAACGTGTTCAGTCCTAATGGACTTTGAGAATGCTTTAATGTTTTCGCAACATAGTGCCACGGTGCGTGGATTAAGCTAAATATAGGGCAAATTTAGTTCAACGTTATAAATGTACTATATGCACTTTGACTAAGAGTATAGTGGAGCATCATAATGAACCTTTGTAGTAATATAAGGTAGCGGTTCCCTGCTGATTAATAATAATAATAAAAGCCAATGGAATTTCCAATGAATTTATTGCAAAGAACTTGAGACTTCGAACCATAATATATGATTCGAATTGCATGCTATATACCTATATTATATCCTAGCTACATTCAGTACCGTCGATAGGAACCCCTTCACGGGTAAAAGCCTCCTTCAGCTTTTTCCAACTGACTCTGTCTATGGCTTTCTTTCTCCATTTGCTTCCTGCTACCGCATATTTTCTATCCACCTTCTTTTTGGAGCATCTTCCCCTTGGTCCTATAAGCCGTTTAAGCCGGGTTAATTCGGTCGTAGTCTGATTATATATAAGTGAGCATTACGATTTATGAAACTATTTAATACAAACATGATTTGCGTGGTCTCCCAAAGAATCTTTTCATCTCTATAATATTAAATCGTTTGATGTCGTGCGCGAGGCGAACTGCTTCCGTTCTGGGATGCGGAATATGCTAAGCCATAGACGGTTGATAATATTTTTATACCGCTACCTAAAATAAATAGATATTTATAATATATAAATAGGTAGACACATAATAACATATTTATATGCGCTCATTTTAAAATGATTGTTTCCGTATATTGCAACATCAAATATTTCAGAGACGCCCTAAATTGTGAATGCGGAAATTTAGTTCAGAATTATTTGAAAAAAGAATTTTTATTAGGCCCGATGTAAATCATTCTAAACTGAGTTTCCAGTTGTACAGTGAGACAGACATGTTTTTTACTGATTCCCTGGATTCTCAAGGTCTTCAAGAACTAATATACTCGCAATAATGAGGAGTAGGAGTGACACTATAGGGCATGATGGACATATATTCCAGGTCTGTTAGAGATGAATTTTTATACGTTTGCCAGGTCTGTTACAGTTCTTTTTCTGGGCAGAAAGACTGGTTTTAATTTTAATAAACAGAGCCCCATTGAGCCACGGATTATCGAGGTATGCACACGTTATTATTAGGGCGCTAGTATATTATTGTTAGCTGATTCTGAGAGCAGTGACGCATCGCATGTGCAAATGCACTATATTTCGTTTCACATTGAACGACCTGGTAAATGCACTCAAGTATAAAAAATAGCTTCTCGAAACTCCAAAGCTCCAGAGCTAAAAGTAACCACTAATAGGTATTGAATTTTATTTTGCAAATTAAATAAGCGAATTTATTTGGGGTTTTAGATAAAAAAAAAATTAAATTTTTTAATAATGAGACATATGATCTAGATTCTAGAGGCATTAAGACGAATAAGTTAACATGACATACTAGCTGACTGAAGTCGTTTTGCTTTTATATCATTATAATAAAAAATTAGGGTTGATACAAGGGGTGAAAGATTAGGGGTGTATCTATTTTTAGATGCTGTACATAAAAAATAAGAATAAGTTTTTTATATAAAATTTTAAAAAAATTAGAGGTGGGACTACCCTTAACATTTAAATGGGGGATTAAAAATAGATGTTGTCCAGTTCTCAGACATACCCAATATGCACACAAAATTTAACTACAAACACCGCGACACGAGAATTTTATATTAAGTTTTAATAAAAGTATATTTATTTGATTGCGTATTTTCTGTCCCTGAATCTAAGAAAAAAAGGCATAAAAATTCTCAAACATATTTTCAAATAGATCAAAATAGTGGTAGGGTTTATTATTGTTATTTGAACCATAACTCTTACTCAATATTGCATGTTATTTCCTTCTAATATTTACCCATTGTTATCGATCTCAATTAAGCATTACAAAGAATTGAACAACCTTATTGAACAAAACGGAAGCCGTAATATATTACGTAGTTCATAATGACCTACGGATAATATTACCCTTGAATGTCTTTAACACCTAGACCGATTTGTTAGACGTGGTAATAATGACTCTTTATGGTATTGATAACTTAGCACTCGCAAGATAACAACGCGAAAATATTCTACAGCAATTCCTGCTTGAAATATGTTATAAACAAGACGGAAAAAAATATGTAGAGAGATTAAATCTGCAAAAAATGATAGTAGGTTTATGTTCGGATAGAACATGTGTCCCTGTCTTATATAATGGCATAGTTTAACGCAGCATTTGTTTTTTTTCAGGAGTGACAAATTATCTGGCAAGATGACTGTAGTTGTCAATCCAGCGAGGACGGAGGAGGAAGATATCGGGACACCTATTCCCCCTCACTCTTATCCATTGGATTTACCCTTGGCTTCAACACCTGATGATTCTATGATCAGCCCTCAATACCTCGATTATATCAGTCCCACTTCTGATATAATAGAAAATGACAGCATAGAAAATTCTCCTGAATCTCCGCCTAACTTATACGATGATGAAACTCAGAGTGACATTGTATTTGTAGCTGGTATAAATGACGACACATATCGATTCCCTGGTCATCGGCGAGTCCTGGCTGCAACCAGTCCTGTCTTCGCAGCTCTACTATCAGCTAAAACCGACGTCATAGTGGTCGATTATATTGACCACAGAGGATTTGAGAATCTACTCAGATACTATTATTGTGAGCCCACTCAACTAACAACTGTACAAACAGTTAGATCAACACTCGACGCTGCTTACAAGTTTTTATGTCCCCAACTTACTGAACGATGTGCACGCAAGTTAGACGAAATGTTGGACGCAGAAGTTGCACTGGATATTATCCGAGACTTACGATTCATGTGCGCTAAATTGCCAGGTGCCGCTTCTGCACCGCCCTTGCCTGCCTTGACGGACGATAGAGCAGCTCGATCGCTCGCCCAATGTGCGAGTTACTGTGACATGTTAGCGCATAACACTCTCCTTGTATTGGACGATAACGCTGATGCTGCACTTCAACATGAGAAGCTTGAAGATCTTACATACGAAGACCTGGCGCTAGTTGTTAAACGAGACACTCTCAGAGTATCGAATGAACTGGTTCTGATAGAAGCTTTATCACGCTGGAGTACATCTATATGCAAAAAATACAAACGAGAGTTGACGCCTGCCAATAAACGAGCTGCTTTAGGAGAGCTGTCATATTGCCCTCGATATCTGCTACTTCAAGGCGATGAATTGGAACGTGCTTTCGGGTTTGAGTTGTTAGAGCCAATGGAAAGAGCTCTGGTATTGGCACGAGCGAGGAAATTATCAGCACCAATTCCTGTCGGAGCGCATCAGGAGAATTTACTTCGCCGTTGGGCCCGACCGCGACCAAAGGATCCGGCGGCAGCCCCCGTGAAGCTTAGTCCTCGTTCTGAACCAGAGCCTGAAGAACAACAACCCACAAAGCTCTGTGGTCGACGTCCGAAACGTCTCAAACACCCAAAATACCAAGTAGACGATCCAAACCTTTACAATACTTATAAAAAACAAAAAGGGTGTTGCGCAAAATTTACTGATGGATTAATCCGAGCATTTATTTGTTTATTTGATTGAAAATTTACAATCAAATTTTTGTGAATTTACAATTCAATGTGTAGCTATTGAAATGAGTAGAGTTAAAGAAAGTGGTAATAACCAAATCTATGTAGTAAACTAAACTAATAAAATTAAATATTGGTAGGATATAGTAACTTCTAGTGCAAAACTATTTTTGTACTTTGTAAAAATACTTGACATTTCTAACCTCCAACGTAGATAAACTACCAGATTAGAATAAAATATTTTTGCCTCTTATCTCACAATAAAACCTCAGGTTTAAAATTATATATCATACATTATGCCTCTGTACGCTTTAAAAGCGTAAAATCTTTATAGAAAAAATTTAAACGAATTATTTGAGAAAACATTGTATTTCCCGTTTGTATACGTTTAATTATAGTAAATTAAGGCATAAATGTATGCTATATTAATTGAGTTAGACAATTTTTAAAACTACAAGAAATACCAATTGTAGAACAATTTGGGTGATTTCGTTTAATGAATTTTTAAAAAGATAATTTGATTATTATTAAAACGATAATGCACAAAGCTTTGAGCGAATGCCTGTTTAAAATGTTAATAAATGATGAAAATTTTATTGCATTTAACAACGATTATAGTTAAGAATTTTGTTGCTAGTACATTCTTATTGTTTTTCATTGATGTTAATTCTGATGTGTATAAATAATTATAATTGTTTTCATAAAAATCGACGGGACATGTTAGTGATTTCGCGGGCTACAAGCAAGCAAGCAAACGAATGTTTTCATTCAGTAAATTTACGATTTCCTAAATAGCAAAGCACTTTTCACACATCTCGCTTTAACTTAAGCCTGCACCGGTACTCTGTAACTTCCAATAACGACAGCAATACCGAATCCGACGTTTTCGAATGCAATTTCGATAGTTCTCTTAATAACAGCTGATCACGTTACCTTGGGATAGCAAAAACATTATTGGTATCGGAATCGATGTCGATTCTTTATCGGAAGTTACAGAGGAAGGGCCCTGTTATAAACGCATACATTCTACGTCTCGTAGCACAACTGTTATTTGTATATAAAAGTCGGGTTTTAATACGTCAGAATTCACACACTCTTACATATGAACGCAATTTTTGTGTTTAAATTTTTGCTTGAAAACTATAAATAGCGATACTATATTGTGATGAATTAGAATTTATTTCTTCCCATTAATTGTTTGCTAGTCGTATTATAAGTACATTGTTATTGTTTATTAGATTAATTATACTGATTTAGTTTTGTACGGTGCTTCGATTTCTTTCGGGTAGCAGCTTTTCGTATACATAGTGCCATAGGTAATTATGATTTTTGTAAATAGATTATTCAATTGATGACCTCAGATTTTCTTACGACAATTATAAAAAATCTTTCATTTCTACTAAGTATATAACAGCTGCTCTTTATTAGGTGTAATTAATAAATTTTCTTGTATCTTTATTGTAATTACTGCCAAATCTAGATGTTAAATGTACTATAATTTCAGCCCATTCATAAAAACTTATTCAGTCTTATTATTTTAACATAACATTGCTATGTTTAATTTTGTATCGGCTGTGATGAAGAGTTTGTACCCAATTTCGTTTTAGCTATTTTAATATCCGTAGAATTTGGATGTTGCCGCTTTAGATACTATATTCCTGATCCTAGTTAATTACAGATCGGTTCAGGACTTTATTTAAAACAATGTAATGGTGGTCTCAGCCTATACACAATTTGACTAAAGAGTACTTTGGTTAATAAGACTGTTTTTGTTTTTTATGAACAAGGAAATTTAAAATTTAAATTAATACGCAATGCGTAGAGCATTTATATGTTACCAGTGTATCTACAATTAAATTGTACTTATAGATAAGTTTATTAGAAATTATTTGCATTAAATGTAATCAAATGTAGATGGAATGTGTTCAGCTAAGAGCTGATGGATTTTAAATAAAGATTTGATGTTATTTATTTATTTTTATGACGATGAAATAATAGGAATCATCAATAGTTTTGATATGAATTAACTTTCATAAATGAGTTGTGCGTATGGAAACTCGAAGCTTCACTCACGACCAGAATACTTTCTAGCTTTTCAACTCTTTCAACCATATTACAAAGCACATCTTCAGCTGTTTGTAAATCATTGGCGAAGCATCGTGATAGTGTCTTTCAAATCTAGCATCGTATTTATCTTTGAATTGACCTTATCAAATTTCTCATCTATTTTAATACGGGCCGTCTGTGTGTCATCCACTTCTTTATTTATCCGCGAAGTTATTGCATTTTTAAGTTCCTTGAATTTTCTGTCGAACACATTAGTCTCTTTATTTTCTTTGGAGGCTTTTTCTCCTGTGTTTGTTGATAATGTACGATATTTGTAACCAGTAGTTCGGGTTGTGTAACAACTCTTGTGGAAAATATCCGACATTATACTTGGTTATTTAATTATTTAATTTATTCAGTGGTTTTTTTATTAAATGCAATTACGCATTTAATAATTTTATATCAGTTTTCATCGTCTTTTATGACATTGCAAGCAGAGTAAAGAGAATAATAATGTGGTAGAAACAGATAAATCAATTACCATAAGAAATATAGATACACATTGATAAATATGACACAGATCAAGAACCTACCTCTATGGAGTAACATAAAAAAACCTACCGAATCGTAGCAGACAAAGGAAGCTGTTCTGAATTCTGAGAGAAAAAATATCAGACTGACTGTAGAGTTTAAAGTAGAGTACCTACCGATGCTTTTTTTACTTTTATTTCAAAGAAACTGAAAATACAACGGATTCCAAGATTAATATTTGAATAAATTGTCTAAAACTTATCATAAATTAAAAAATATCTTGTTATCTTTGGTAAAGACCGAAAATAATGCTGAAAAAAACGGAATTAATTATAATCTTTTGCAATGTTCTGTGAACAAGCAATCCATTACAAATTTAGGTAGTCCTACTCATATTCGGTAGATGTCACTAAAATTAAAAATTGACGCAATACATTTCATAAGACGTAATTTCTCAAGTTTTAAATTTAAACATCTTTGCTAAATAGAAAGCAATTAAATTAATAGTAATATAACACTTATTATTTATATTTAGCGCTACCTATAAAATTAGCATATATGTATGTATAGTACTTTTATAACAAAAACTAAGTTCTGCCCTCAAGTCGAATCATACTGTCGCAATTTGTTGTAGTTCCACGCATATTCTGTAGATGTCACTAAAATACAACATATTTATATCTCAGAAGGTGATGTTTACAATTTGTACTTAGATGACTTTAGAAAAGGAACATAGATGGCAGGAGTCATAAAAAAGAAGATTTCACTGAAAATATAGCTTTGAAATTAGTTACGTACTTTATGGTTTACTTAATGGTTGTACCCTAGCGCATAATACCGTATTAGGTTCTTGTTATTAGGTTGTTTATTCTTATTTATTTTGCATTATATTTCGCTTACAAAATAAATATATAAGAACTACGCTCTCGACGTTTATGTTTAAATTAGTCACACTAATTTGTTGCTTTCGTATTTTTATAATATTAACAATTTATAGATTGATATACATACTTAAATAACCTAATAATAAAACATTAAGCTTTTAGGTGAGTATTAAGTAGTTTAAAGCAGCGTTGGCCTAGTGGCTTCAGCGTGCGATCCCATCCCTGAGGTCGTATGTTCGATTCCCGGCTGTGCACCAATGGACTTTCTTTCTATGTACGCATTGAACATTCGCTCAAACGGTGAAGGAAAACATCGTGAAGGAACCGACATGTCTTAGACCCAATAAGTCGACGGCGTGTGTCAGGCACTGGAGGCTGATCACCTACTTGCCTATTAGATTAAAAATGATCATGAAATAAATTCAGATTTCTGAGGCCCAGACCTAAAGAGGTTATAGCGCCAGTGATTTATTTTTATTTTTTATTAAGTAGTTTAACATCTCAATGGGGCATGGATGAAAGAAATGTCTTTGACCTTTCTTCGTTTGTTTCATAGTCAATTTTAATTAAGGGTCTATATGATGAGCTTTTTGTGCAAAGAATAATTATTATATGGGCTGTACATTATGAACGTTTACCACAAAGTGACTAACCTTCATGATAATTGTCAAGCTGTACATGTACTGTATTTCCGTTCCCGATTTCTGATAGAAGTTTCATGAAGATGAAATCCAGGCTACGTAAATAAAAGAACATGACCAAAATCGGAAGACGTCTTTAGTTCTTTCTCGATTTGCCTTAGCTCGCTTAAATAGACTACATTACCATGTTAATGCTGAGGCAATCCAACTTCTTCATAGAACAGGAACAAGACGCCTAAAGAGAACTTAACCTTTTGAGTTAGTGAAAATCCAATTTCCGAGCGGCTTGATCCCTTAGTGTTGCGTAGAGATGTGGGGTTTCTCTGCATCATCTACCGCATTTACCACGGAGAGTGTTCAGAGGAGTTGTTCGGATTAAGATATGCAGGGAGAATACGATATAACAACCGTATCCCTAGCATCGGTCGTTCCACAACTGAGCGCTTTTAAAGACAGATTTAGCCCCGCACCACTATGTAGAACCAGCTGCCCTCTGAAGTTTTTCCGAACCAATTTGACTTAGGGTCCTTCAAGAAAAGACCAATTAAAGGCCGGCAACGCACTTAAGAGGCTTCTGCCGAGGTGGCTATGGGCGGCGGTATCACTTAAAGACAGATGAGCCTCCTGCCCGTTTGCCCCCTGTTATAACACTAAGAACGTTAAGTCAACATAATATGTATAACTTATTAGCCAATTATATATGTTGCACTTCTGTAAACTAAATCGTTAGTAAAAAAACATAAGTTCTTTGTAATTGGTACGTACCGAAATAAATCCAATGTCCAGACGATTATTGATTCAATCAATGTAATCGCTATATGAATATAACTAAGCGGCCTTCAAAAAATTAGACGATCTTCAAAGAGGTTTTTCAATAATTAATGTCTGTTTTTTTTACCAATAATGAATTGTCCACGTGTTTAAGAAAGCGGGCGGCGTCGGGAACAACAGAATTCAGAAAGATCCCACTTCACAACACAATAGACATTCATAAACAATAATTTAAAATCGGGAACAGACACGGGACGATTTTTTTTAAATCTATTGTGTTTGGGACAATGCGTCTAGCAGGTTACCGCGTAAATTTATTTTTGATGAAGTGCAAAAGTTAATTTTTTTGGTCACAACTTACATGTGGGCCCAATATGTTCATTGTAATATTCGTTGGTGTGTGAATCTTTTCGCTTTTTTTTCGTTCTGTTCCCACAATGTGTTCTTATGATTTATTGTTAGATTGAATATTGAATTTTAAATAACAGTAATCTAAATTTTATAAAAACAACTTGTTATACTTATGTGTAATCTATTTCGAAACTATGTCGCACCTTACTGCAAAACAAAGGAAAGTACGTATATATTGTTACTTTTAAGTTGAGACTTCAAAGACTGCCTATTTGGTTGATCAAACAAAATTCACTTCTTTAAATATTAAATTTATTAAAACCGAAATAATAAATAGAATCAAAGTTAGTTAATTTCAGTTCCGAATCAATTCGACTTAGTTCTTTGAATTCCACCCGTATCATATCGACGTCCGTCGTTCCACAACTGAGCGTTTTTTAAGGCAGTTTTTGCCGCACACCATCACTATGTGGAAGTTTAGCCTCGACTTACGGTCCTTTACGAAAAGAGCGTACACATTTTTCAAAGACCGGCAACGCACGTGCGAGCCTTCTTGCACTGTCCATGGGCTATCACTTAACTTTTGGTGAGCCTCCTGCCCGCTTGCCCCCTGTTAATACTGAATTAAAAGTAGCTACTAGCTAGCTATGCGCAAGGGTGAAGGGTCATTCCAAAATCCTATTTATATAAACCTTTATGAAGCCTGTTCGTGACACCTTTTTCTCTCTTAGATTTGTAAAATTGGAAGTATTTAATATGTATTTCTTTTTAGACGTTCATAAGTGTACATTGTGTTCCTATATGAATAAATGATTTTTTTTTTTTATAAACGCTCGAACTTAAAGCCCAATTTTAAGTACCCATGTTAATTATTTATTAAATACTATTGAGTCAATGGATACCTAATATTCCTTTAAACCATGACTAAATTTCAGATCTCCCGCTACGTGCCATTGTTAATATTTTAACAACCTCTCGAAGGCGCAGGTAGAATCCTTATAATAGATACTTGAAAATCAATTGTGTCGCCATTGAAAGTTAAGCGCCACCTAGACAATTCACATTTTTTCGTAATTTCGTAGTAACGACAAACAGGTTTGGCAGGTAGAATTCTTCGGAGCAAAAAGGTAATCCCCAAATTCTGTGAATTATTGTCAAGTGTTTAATCTGTTATAGCGGTTATCAGTTTCACTTAAATGTTTTTTTTTCTAAATCTATATCGAAAATTAAAAATGGATTTCATGGAGTATATATATTTTTTTTAAAGACAATTCACACCAATGGACCTAGTCCCATGCTTAGCTGGTGAAGCTTGTGTTATGGGTACTAGGCAACGGATATACATACATATTATAGATAGATAGACATATAAATACATATTTAAACACCCAAAACCTAAGCACAACACCAAATGCTCATCACATCGAAGTTCGTCTCAACCGGGGATTGAACCCGGGACCCATGGATTCGCAGTCAGGGGTACTAACCACTAGACCAATGAGTCGTCATATTTACTAAATAACCCTAAATCAAGCCTCTTTTTTATCTGACCGTTGATTTTTTTGTTGTTTAGTTTGTTACAAATGACGAATAATTGGTAAGAAAAAACAATTGATAACTTTTTTTAGCAACCAGTTACATGGTCAGGTTGTAATCTGACATAGTCTCTCCTTTTTTAGCCCATTCTGCTCGGTCCTGGGCTAGCCTGCTCCATCTCTTCAGCAGAACAGCTGCCCATCTTGCGACTTGAAGTCCTCTCTTCCTTGCGCCAACTTTTCTCTAGCATTCTAGACCGACACCATTCTAATACATACATTTATTTGATTTACCTTGAAATATGTAGTATGAAATTTAAGTTACATATATATATCGCAATATCTATAACATCAAAATATTCTAACGAATTGAGGAACCTCCATTTGAAGGTTTTTTTTTTAAAGTAGATAACTATTACGAATCAAATATAAAATTATTATAAATATACATGTATTTCAAAATAATGACTCATTGCATTGTGTGATTTTAAATATATATATATATAATATACAAAATTATAAAACTTCACAAAAGCATAGAAAATAAAAAGTTAAAATTTGTTAATTATTAAGAAAGCTATTTAAATGAGATAAACTTTCATTATTTCGCTGCCTCACGTACCGTAAATATACATATTCTATTAATATTTAGAGACATTGAAAATTACAGAA